CAGGCAACCATCTGTTCTGTTTGTTCCTGAAACGCCTATCAACTTTGTCATTGAGTCTACTCCACTGCGAGACAAACCCATAGACTTGACTTACAAGTTGTCACCCTCTGGACCTTGACGCAGCCCACGCTGCAAAACACATTCTGAGGATGGAAGGTGGAACTCAAAGGACAAATCTGCAGAACCAGGCCCACCGTCTCATGATCCAAATGCTCGTGATCCTGTCCTGACAATGGAACCAATGTATAAGAGCTTGAGCTCTGCAATGAAATCGCATGAACGCAACTAGATACGCCTGTGCACATACTTTGAGTGGTTGCCCAAGCTAGATATCCAGAAATTATTTCTGTGGACTATTGTCTATCTAGCTAGATCTCCTGTGGAGGCCCATCATGAACACAAATATCATCTCTTGGCGTCATCCCTAGAGTCTATTTGTTACATGTTAGGCACAGTAGGCAACGTGGAACATCCTGGATGCTACATGACCTACCAATTTCTATTTCTAGAAAGGAACAACTCACGCTCCCTACAATAATCACCTCAATTGATCTATCTGATGGGGAGGAGTTGGCACCCCCAACAAAAATCAAATCCAGTGACAATCAGACCATTAAGACCGTTGTTTATTCTAGTGAGGATGAATCAGATATAGAAGACGTTCTGCTAGGAAATTGGGACCTCATTGGACAAACTTTTCTTCTCTCACCAGATGAAAGTTATGTTCAACGTGCTAAGATTGTTGAGCTTAACTACAAGCACAACCGCAACAAGGACATTGAGCCTGCGCATATTCAACTATGCCTGAACATTGACAAAGGTGAATATGAACGTGTCATGGCTTACCGTAACATCCACAAGTGGTCAGAAATTGATGCAGACACCCCCATTGTTTGGAAGCTCAAGCAAGTTGTATGCTGCCATCACTACATTTGACTTGAACACCCTTCTTACCTGGGTCTGACCTTTTTATGGCCATTGGATGGAAACATGGGGAGAATACCCCAGAAGCACTGAGCATCACTGGAGCCGATGACTCAGTGACCTACACTATACATGCCAGAAAATCACAACCTGTTGGAAAGTCAAGGTTGTACACTTCTTGGAAATATAGTCAAGGGCAAGAAGAAACTTCTTTGTCCATCCAATCAAGTCAAGCTGAGATTGCTACACACTACTTCACCAAAGTGTATGTTGAATGGAACCTCAATTGATTTCTTATCTAAGGAGCAGTCAACTGTTGAGACTGCTACTTATGGTTCTGAGCCTGCAGCCACTCAAACCTGTGCCAAACAGATCATGGATCTCCAACAATCCTTGAGGTACCTTGGTGTGCCAATCAGAGGTCAAAGCTACATGTTTGGTGACAATGAATCTGTCATGAACAGTTCTTCCCTACCTGAAGCTAAGCTACACAATCAAGATGTTGCATTGTCATTCCACCGTGTGAGAGAAGCAGTAGCAGCTAACATGCTATCTATTATCCACATTGACAGTGCTCTCAACCCAGCTGATATTCTCAGCAAACATTGGGGTCATCAGCAAATCTGGACACTACTACCGACTCTAATGTTCTGGTCTGGAGATACTGCTGAACAAGAGGACTAGGTCCTCACTTTGTCCCATTTGGGGAGTGACAGAATTCTAACAGGAACGGGACTTGTGACTCGACCTATAGGATTCCCAGGTTGAAGTGTAGCTTGTACGTCGCACGCTTTGCACGTGCACAAACCACTACACGCCATTAATTTAGCACAGAGAATGCTGAGTCATCAGCGTTCTGCGATAATTCTAGAGATTTGCATGGAAAAGTGATGGATCATCGCTTTTCTCACTGCATGCTTTTTACTTGAATTGACAACGATCAACTTGTAGGAACTAGTCAACTATAGGCTTATAGTCTATTTTCATTTATTTCTGTCAGCTATCGCTCCAATATTGAATGCTCCAGCTCAATCTGAAGCTGTTGCAAGAGAAACAGAGATGGCCCAAAACAAGATTCTCTATTGTGCAAAGCTCGGCAAGAACATGCACAGATCAGCCCACTTCAAATTGAACAAGCAAACTTTTAAGTCAAACATAATGCTTAAGTTTGTGACGAAGGCGATGGATATCAAGCTTCGAGGTGAAGCCAATTTCACAACTACTCTTGAAGATCCAATTGAACTCTTGAAATGTATTGAACAATTCATGAAGAAGAGTGCCAATGCTGAGTATGACTTATTCACAACTACTCTTGAAGATCCAATTGAACTCTTGAAATGTATTGAACAATTCATGAAGAAGAGTGCCAATGCTGAGTGTGACTTCTCGGATTTTTTGGGAAGCGAATCAAAAGTTCTTTGCCATGAAGCAAGGAACAAACAAAAACTTGATGCATTTCAAGGAACAATTCTTGAGACAGGCTGAAGTCCTGCAAGATCTATATGGCGTTGCCTGGATCCAAAATTTTGCACTCAAGATAAAGCGTATGCTGCTATTGCTAGCACCAATACTGCTGCTCAAGACAAGTTCAAGGATGAAATCTTTGAAGCCGTTCTTGCAACAGGATTTCTATGCAACTGTGATCAAACGAGAACAGCTCTGCTGATACTGGATCTTCAGACAAACTAATGCAGGGAAGTGACAAGATATGTTGAAGATTCACATGGATGTGATTAAAATCCAAGAGTGAACCTATACCAAGGAAAAGACCAACCAAAGAAAGGGAAACGTAAAGGGAAACCGTAGGATGGAAAGAAGAAGGCAGCATGTTATGTATGTGGCAACAAAGACCATATGTCTCCAAAATGCCCAGACAGACTGCTACCAAAGATCCAATGGAAAGATCCTGATCAATATGTTGAGTATGGGAAGAAGCTCAATCTGAATCAGATTGGAGCTACTGTCCCAGCTATAGTTCCAGCTATAGTTCCTGGAGCTTCTTCATCCACAAGTAGAGCATCAAGTGTTGCAGGAAGCATTAACACACCTTTGCGACTTGCTGGTACTACAGGTAATCAGATGATGCAAGTTCCTTCTGGAATGCAGCTCATCCAGATTCCAACTCAAGGTGGCGGCACTGTGGCTGTCCCTTACTCAATGAATGCTAATGGTGAGATTGCGTTCAGTGGAATGCAACTCAGCCAATCAAATGCGCCAAAGATTTGATGCAACCCAAGCTCAAACTTGGCAGGTTGGGAAGACTGGCTATTTTGTTACGTCAATGTCTATCTTATTCCATGCCCTGCTGGTATGACAAATGTCAAACTTCAAGCTGACTGGCACTATGCTAGTGAAAATGAAGACTTGCCAGATCTTGCTACTGAAGAAGATCAAGGTATGCAGTTCATTCAAAGCCCCAGAAGAGAAAAGAATCCATTTGGGTTGTACAATCATGTCATCATAGACAGTGGTTGCACAAACACCACCATTTGTAATGGTGAGCTCATGCATGGACTCCGTCATGCTGAGAAAGAACTTGACATGCAAACTAACGTGGGTAGCAGAGTTCTCGACGAAGAAGGTTTTCTAGGAAGATTTCCACCTCCAGTTTATCATGATGAAGATGGAATTGCCAATGTACTTGCTGTGCGCAAGATAATTGCTGCGGGATACCGCATTACTATGGACACTGATGCGGGGCAGCGCTGTTCTCTTCCATTGTATTGAGCCCAACTTTGACTAAACTGACACAGTAGAGTTGCCCTAATTCATTCTTAATGGCACCAAAAACGGTAGACTTGCCAAATAATTAGCCTTGTCTCACATGACCCCTTGAAATATATAATGAAGATTGGTACAATTGGAACATTCCATCTTCCTACGCCTGATTAGAAACACAGATGAAAACGTGAATTGTCGATCCATCCCTAACGTTTTCAGGAGCTCATATTGGTAATAATTGTTCAGGAGTTTTCTCTGTATTCTACCACTGTTCGCCATTGATCTCATCATTTCGCTAGCAATTTGATCAGCATCGAGCATTGCGATGTTGTCAAACTCAACCGCAAGACTCAGTACGGATTGGCGATACTCTGGACTCTTTTCATCGCTTGCCAATAAAAAAGTGATCTGCTTATTCATTTTCTCGATTCCACTAAGCGAGCATCGAAAATATTCTCTCACTGCATTCAAAGATGTATCACATGATGCTATGGAATCTCCCCTGCGAATATGGAAGAAACCGAAAAGGGATGTGTTGGAGGGAGCAATTGAGATTGTCCGCGCGCGAAGTTCATGCCGCAAAAACTGAAGTTGTGACGGGGTCATGTGATGTGGATCGCTGTCTATATAATCGCAAGCTGAACCGAACTTTCGACTCCAGATCAAAGAAGGTTGCATTCTACTTGTATAGAGGTCTTGAGAGAAATGCTGTGCTTCTTCAGAAATGTCAGGCAGTCGTCTAGTGTTTGACAACTCAGATTCAAAATAGGTTCGGTGAATTTCCCATACGAAAGGCCGTTCGTCGTTTAATGTTTGCTTCCAGGACAAATCCTGAACGCGTTGATAGTCCTCAAGCAGATCACCATCACTTTTTGTGAGTACAACTAGCCATCCATTCTTTTCCATCGCTCTATAGATCCCCGGTCTGCGCCAGTTCTTAAGACCCTTCCGAATAAAAGGATTATCTCTGGCTTCAAATAACGCTTGGGTTCCATCCAAGAAAGATATATTGAAGAAGTCTTCCCACTTGACGTCAGGGGCAAGAGTCTCGTTGTTGTTGTGCTTTGGATCAAGTGATGCATGAGGTGGTGCAACTTCAAGCACAGCACACAAGTAGCCAGCAATGTTCGACATGACTCGATAAGAGTACTCCCGATCGCGCAGACCGGCTTTCCCATTGTGATAGTATAATTTGTTTAAGCGATTTGGGCATCTTCGTTGACATGATTTTGAAAAGGTTATCGGCTGCGCGACTGATGTATCTAATAACCTGAGACCATCACTGAAATATAATGAGTTGCGGCAAATCAACAGTAGCATTAGAGGTAGTAACGCGGTTTGACAAGGGAGATGAAGTGGGTATTGGATTTTTCTACTGGATGTAACAATCGAAGGCATTTCGGAGTTTGCGGGATCTCGAAGGCAAGGACAACACGACAACCGTTTATGATGCGGTAGTTGGGCGAGAAGTGGGAGTTGAGTATGTGAAAATCTGAACTCTACCCAGCTGACCGTATAGAAAGGTTAGGCTGTTTCCACGCGAACCGAATTTCGAAAACCGAAAGGATGCCAAAACCAGTCAGGGAGTTGCGGGGAGTTTGCATCTGATGCGTGTGACGCGTCGTAACTACTTATTTATTCCAAATCAAACCGCGCATGGCGCATGCCAAATGAAACAACACCGAACAGAGCGGAGGATTCCAAACGAAACCAAACGACACGACACCACACGTCTCGTGTTGTTTCGGAATGAAACCAAACGAAATGAAACCACGCGATTTCGTGTCGTTTGGTTTGGTTTCGTTTGGTTTTGTTTGGTTTCGTTTTGTTTCGATATATTCCAAAAAATTGTTCGTTTGGTTTCGATTGGTTTCGATATATTCAAAAATCGTTCGCCTTGAAAAGGAAGGTGCAGAACCAACAACACTCAATATCTTTGATTGTTTTATATATTGAAACCAAACAAACAATTTTTGAATATATCAAAACCAATCGAAATCAAATGAACAATTTTTTAGAATATATCGAAACCAAACGAAACAAAACGAAACCAACCAAACCAAACGAAACCAAAGGACATGAAATCGCGTGGTTTTGTTTTGTTTGGTTTTATTCCGAAACAACACGAGACATGTGGTTTCGTGTCGTTTGGTTTCGTTTGGAAACCTCCGCTCTGTTCGGTGTTGTTTCGTTTGGCATGCGCAGTTTGATTCGGAATAAATAACTAGTTACGATGCGTCACACGCATCAGATGCAAACTCCCCGCAACTCCCAGAGATTTTCGGTTTTGGAAAATCAGATGGGTAAAAAACATGTTTCCACACGAAAACGAAATTTGGCATACGGAATTTACCTGCCTTAGCAAATCAGAAACTGACATTTTCCAACCACTTTCATTGGTCTAGAACAGATATGAAATATTTTACCACACAAAAGTTTTAATCTAAAAGCGAAGGCTACAAATTTAAAGCATGTGATCGGGCGTTCCTTCCTCTCACGGATGATATGCTAGACGATATGGGTGTTACTATTTACCCGACTGCAGCTGGAGACCACGAGCCTACCGCTGAGCAAAACAATAGGACACTGAAAGAAAGAGTCAGAGTAGCTCTTGCACGATTACCCTACAAAGTGGTCCCAAAAGTGATCACTGAATGTCTTGGACATCCAGCCGCCGAGCTATTGAATGTCTTTCCCCAGAAAGACAGTATCTCATCACATTTCAGTCCGCAGCAGCTCATTGATAATGTCAATATCAACTACAAGAGTGACATGGTTGCTGAACTTGGACAATATGTTCATGCAATTGGGACACATTCCAGCAATTCGATGGAACATATTTTGGACACCTTGTCCGACACGCTCAGGAACACAGAAGAGACCCTCCGTATACTACCACTTTCAGACAGGACGTAAAAGAACACGCAGATGTGGATTTGCAATGAAGCCGACCTTTGGCGGCTGATTGTTAGAATAAAGCAAAATGTGCTCTATCGTGAGTGCCTTTAGCGCTCAGAACAAACTCTCTGCAATCTAAATTCGTAATCGACTGTACAACACTTTCACGACAATAGTTCTCCTGTGTCTAGGTA